CTATTACGGCACCATCTACTTCGATAGGGTCGATCGGTAAGAAAACGATCACTGATAACGAGGACTCGTATTGTCATAGCCCTAACAATTAATAACACCTCTCGTATCCGGTTTGAGGGGCCAAAAAACTATAATATTACCATCCTAAAAACGACAGCTACGCTGACTGGGGCCGTTCTCATACAGGCACAAGTCCGTCTTTCCGGTCGAGCTAGTGCCATCGGATTTTGCTCCGTGTTCCGACTTTCTATTTGAACACGATGTTTCACATGTGCAGAGTCTTTATCTCCCTCCTGTTCTTTACCTGCAACTTTTCTCATATTTTCCTCGCTCGGCGTACGCCATATTTCCTCATGATCGATACCAGTGACAGTCGCATCCAGCGCTACTGTATACCGTAACATTAGGCTATGTGTTAATGTTACGATAGAATAGTGCACGCACATACACACGCATATATTCACCCACTCACTGTCCACAAACGCACAAGCGTCAGAGGTAAACGGGCATCAAACGACGTCCATATTCGAATGCGTGACACCATCAGCGGCGGCAAGCCACGGAATTTTTGATTGCCTGTCGACAGCTGAGAAAAATTAAACTATTCGATTAACGACACAGCGACACACATATTGAACATAACTTGAAATTTTCCGGCAATCTATTTATCATTATTATAGTAATAAATAGTCATACTATGCCTAATAATATTATTAACAATACTTAGAGCAAAACGTCCAGTACAAGGGCTAGAAACTTCTAAATAGGAGGAGGCGGTATAAAAAGGAAACTAGTGAAGATCAAGGGAAATCCAGGATCTAGGGTGCATTGTGCGGTGGTGTAACCGTCGACGTGAACGATTTTAGTATAGCGTGGAAGATCGGTTAAAGAGAAAGGTTGAGCCATCAGTCATTTTAGGCGGCGAATACTGTACCGGCGGTCGCTAGCTAGCTACATCGAGCAGCAGCATCAGGTCCTTAGTGGCCTGATATAGAGGTCTGCAAGACTGCTTTCATCGTCTTTCGCTACAAACCTATGGCCGCCACAGCAGCAGCAGCAGCAGCAGGAACAGCCCAGAGGAATAATGTTAGCTCTGTCGCACTGAGGGAAAAACGGTCAAACCTGAGGGTAGGCAGATGCCTTTTTGTGGCCTCCCTAGAAGCCAATGTTGAAGAAGACAGAGTAGCCTGCTCCAACGAGGCCTGACTACCCCGGTTTCCCTCTTCCTCGGTCCTAGCATGATGTTTCTTTGTGACTGGTCGTTTGTAGCCACCTGTGCAAGAAAGGATCGGGGCAGCTCAATGGAAAACGCGGCATAGAGAACCAATGCGGCAACGGTACGGTAAAGCCAAAGCTGCATCGACCGCAGTAAGCGTTACCATTAATCAATCAACCTTTGCGACGCCTCAACAAGACCGTGGGGTCCGCTGGACAAGGCAATCAATGGAGCCGCCATCATGTGTCATACCTCGTCGTGCACAGCGCGAAAACATCTGCAGGCGCAGTGGACGACACTTGCTTTATGGCAGTGCTATCTCATCGAGTTCGTGTTGTATAATTATGTACTTATTTATGCATATCAAAATGCGTTAGCGCAGTATTGAGTTTAATCCAGTGCGCTATGCGAATCAGAACATTACCTAAGAAGTTAATTGGCTACCGAATAAGCGTTTGAAAGCCGTACAACCGAGTATAATGTTGTAATCATTTTATACGAGTTCACGCCTTCGGTGGCCAATTCCTTTGCCTCAGAAGCCTCGTCGTTTCCTTAATCTTGTTGCACCCTATATACATGCCTCGCATCGTATTTTCGTCGTACATTTGTCACTTCTAAACTAAAACGCCCCAGTCGGTTTGGTACTTCAGCGCAGGCATTCTGCCTGCGTTTGGTATACCTTCTTTAACGTACCTTGACAGCTAACTATGCTGCTCCCCACTGACAAGGTACAGGGTCCTTGCAAAATGAAACAGAGGACTAGACCGTGTGGTGCAACTAGGCCCTACATGAGACGTTCGTTTAGCAATGCTTCTTACTCTACCTGTAAATAGACTGGGTTTACTGAACTTTGTCATTTTAGACTCACACAGTATTAAGCTACTACTCACTGGGCTATGCATTTTCCCAAAAAAACGTATTTCGGCCGCATTGCAACCTAGCTTGTCCAAAGAATTTGAGAAAAATGTATGATAATACAGCTTTGATCGATCTACACGTTATATGTTCGCTGTTTCTACTACATATCGTCCTGTCGTGTATCGATCATGTGATCTATTGCGTAAGGATTGTAATTGAGATGTAGAAAGCTATCCTTATGCAGGAATATTTAACCTTAGATTCAGAAAGTATGTCTGTTCTTACGCAACTGTCTCTGTCTGCTGTACGAGAAACCTTCGAGAATATTCATCATAATAGGTTCGTCATAATTGCCATAAAAATGACTTATCTCGATTTAGATGGTATTTTGTAAAACAAATGGAGACTTCGAAATTAATTCATAAATTTCTTTGTTAGTATGTCATAAATCAGTGACCACGGCTCTTTTGGTATTTTGCAATCGTTTAATGGTAACCGCATTAATTGTACTGCGGCTTCTTCTTCCCTATTTTAGAATCCTACCGTAGCGGACTCGATGCGATCACAAATAGTATATATTTCACTAGATACTGTTTAATTCAAGCTATGCAAGTACACATTTAGAAAACATATTGTCTAGATGTTTTCCCTATTGAAGAATTTTTCCAAATACTGTTTCAACATGATCAGATATCGTTGCATATTGACCAGCTCACAAACCAACTTATAAACAAGTGCTACCATAAGCAAGTTCAGTATACTTTAGGCTCGCTATGAGATCCGACAGCACAGGCCTTCTACCGAGCCACCTCGGTCTTTGTGTCACAAACTAACTACACAATCAGACCACCACGTTCGCTTTCTTGCCTCTGGCCGGTGAGTAAAGTAAAATGATTTTCCTACATCTGTGCATTCATATATTTACGCTTATCTTACCAGGCTATTTTAATGGTTTTAGTAAAATAAGCCTATTTTAACCGTTTCCTTCATTCTATATAGTGTGTCTGCTGATTCTTCTTTATTTTTGGCCTTTATATTACTGCACAGTTTCCTTTCGCCCTTATTTCAATATCGCTGGCAAAAAATCTGCCGGCGCCCAACTCCTTTTCTGTACTTCCGGCGGCCCATAAATTTGGTTACTGAAGCTGCATTATGGTCTCGTTGCTAACCCATAGAAGAATGATGTTTACGGCTGTAGTGATGAACTGTAGGTATCCCTGTATTATAGTTTAGACTAATACGCTGTTGCACCGCACCCAGTGAGTTTAGTTATTCCGTGGTTTTTTTCTAAGTTAGTTTGTTTTCTAAGTCGACGGCCCAGGTCTGTCCGGGTGACCTAGCGAGCCGTACATTAGGCGAAGCACGTAAGCATTTGAGGCGTGGTATGTGTACAATGCAGTACCCAAATTGCATGCATCCTTTTCCAAGCTTTCTCCGTTATATTATTTCCTCTTTTGCTTTTGCTAGTTGGCGATAATGTCTATAGCAAAAAGGGAGCAACTGCCCTGGCGTTAAGGAGCACTCCTGAATGATCGACATTGAGGACTTTAGGGGCCTGGTTAAGGTGAACGCGCGTACAAGGCAGGTTCTGCCTTTACCTCAGTTTTCCGCCCACGAAATAAAGAGCACCCTTCTTTTCGCCGCTTTTGGAGCTCCGAGAAATACCTAGGGTCTTTTGGTCTATAGGAAAAGGCTACAAACGACGGATGACGTTAGCTAGACTTGACTAGTGGACGCTTTGCTTGGCTACAAATTCGCTGAAATTGAACAACTCGCGTTATCAGCAGACAGCAGATCCAACGAAACGGGAAGGAGGCTGGGGGATGAATGAAGGCGTAGAAACAACTGAGGATTGCTGGCAGAGTCATTTTCTAAGCTATCCGCGCCTTGTACTGCTGCTGCTGCTACTAGAATGCCGTTGCTTCCCCATTTACCCAGAATCTATTGGCGGCGTGCAGCGCTACCGTCTGACTGCTTTACCATAGCTGACATTTGCTTTTCCTACCAGCCCCTCGCGCTAGTCGAAGAGCTAACATAGTGAGGAACTCCTGAAGTGTCCTTGGGCTAACCCTTTTACATCGTTGCCTGTTTCTCACTAGTGTCTGCAACCCCGGCGCACTGCCTGAAGACGAAAGTACTCAGTATTCATGAGTAAATCTGTCTGCGAACACAGAAAGCGAAAAAGAAGAATGGAAAACGTGGGCATACACGGGGATGAGGGGTACAGGAGACTGTTTTCTTAGCAGAATGTGTATCATTGAAAACAAGAGAGCGAGAAAACTATTGTCTAGCAGACCTTTACTCGGATAGACGACGGCCCAGCTACTGTAATGCCAGCTAACTTCCAAACTCTGCTGCGCACAGCGTTTGTACCACTGCAGAGTAACGTCGCGCTGGTAAGCTTTGTGTATCATCTTTCGATGAGAGCGCAAAAAATAATAACAACAACGAGAAAGATAACTACATCTAGCGGAGCAGGTATTCACACTTTAAAGAGCAGATTTCCAGATTTGTCTAAAGTCGCTAGAAGTACGGTTGGATTCACGGCAACGTATCATGTTCGTGTTGTTATTAAGTAACGCGTAATTCTCAAGAGTATTAACCTTCTGTTTGTTCCACGCAAAAGGTCCGTTAGAAGAGTTGTCAGTAATAATGCTTATATCATCATAGGGATGGATTTCAAAAGCTCACCTCCTAGCCAATGTGTCACTGCGTTGTTTTCCCTGATTCATTGTTGTGTAACGCCATAGCGTTTTGCGCTTAGACCTATTTAACTCTAATTTACACAAGGGAAATCATCCAAGAATATCGTGGTAACATTATAACAGAGCAACGTCTCTTAGATTTCTCTGATTTCTAAATACTGTTCATTTATAAGCATTGTTTTTGTTTTGTTTTTTCCTTTTTAGCGTATACAAATAATTAAATACACTCCACGCAGAAGGCAATAAACTAAATTGTCGTATTCATGACCGAAACAGCAGTGAATATCGTATGACGAGTCGGCTTTGCGGATTTTACGGAGATAGAAATCTTTGATGAAAGTGGAGGAGCACATCTACAGGTCGTCGGGTGGTCAAGAGATCAGGCTCACACGTCTAAATAGCGTGTCATAGCCAAAAATTGTAAGCCAATCTAGGCCATAGGTCGCAAAAAAACAATGCCAAGTAAATCATCGTGTGATTATTCGCATGTTTGGACGAAAGCCGTAAATAGTTTTATTAGCGCATTTTCATACATCTGGTCGGCGTTTACTGATGTGTTCGGTTAAGGAATATCATAGATCATTATTAAAAAATTATAATCTAAAAATCGACCGAGCAATCCAGTAGAATAGAAAAAAACGCATAAAATACAGTTTATTTTTTAGCAGCTGTAGAGCGAATACATACGGTAGCAAAGTTGTACTTGCTGCGTAAGCGTTTGATCTCGTCTAGTGGCCCATCGCTATCGATCGTAAAAAGTTTCTAGACGCTTTTGGGGTTTTCACTCAAAAAGTACACTACTTAATTTAAACGCCTCAGTTTGCCTGGGAATTTATTTCTGAATAATTGGACCAAGATTTAAGTGTTGCACGTATCTACTCCTTAAGATATTGACATTTAAAGTTACATTAGAATCAGTGGATGAAGTCTTATAAACAACTCGATTGACTCTGAAAATTCTGTGTTTTTTCAGGACTACCCGATGATACCAAGCCGTTCATTCAAAGAGACCGCGGTGATTCGGTACGTTTGACCTCATTTGAGAAGTAGTTCTGTAAGAATGGTAGGTAAATTTTTTTCATAAACTGAATCATAAAATATTTTTAAAATAATCGACAGTTACTGAGGAGGCGCTCAAATTTTAAAATTGATGTCTCTACATTGGCGGTGCTAACTGGACTGCCCAGTACTACTAGACCTGTCGGTCACCCGTAAAGAATAATCAGCCAAATTGAACGTGCTTAAGTTGACAGGCTCTTCCTATCAGTTAAAAACGTTGTAATTTTAATTTTCTCTATGGGAGACAATTAATTAATTAGTAATCAATGTAGTGCTTAAGTTAGTATATATATATATAGAACCCATGTGCTTTGATTGTGACGTTTTAATTTTCAGCCATAGCTTCCTGTGCTCTCCTAAAAGCAATAATACCGAGATTGCACTGCAAGGGAACAGCCACCTATGCGCCAGTTAACTGTTCACCGCTTCAATGGCGAGCGAGATTTTTCCTTGCCTTTCACGTAGATATAATAATGATAATACTATCGCACACACCGCTTCTATCCGCATCTTCTGTAATAGTTCTACGTGTCTCGCTGAAATTTTGTTCTTTCCAACGACAAACGAATGATGAGTGAGATTTGAAGTGCTCTTTTTCGTCCTAAATCTTTCTCTATACATGTGACTTTTATTCAGTATCCACCGTTCCGTACCTCCCAATCCTTGGCGCCCTCTATTGGTTTGTGGTTACGAGGCCAGAGTGGCAGAATAACGAAGTTTTTCTCAGAGTATTAAATGAAGGCTAGGAGCTGTTCATGATTGCGGGAGCAGATCTTTGTGTCTGCTGCTCGCGTATCATCCTTTCTCTTTGCCGTTCTTTTCATCTTCTCTCCTAGCTCTTCTAGGGTCTTTGAGGATTGTCTTTTCCTTTTCGAGGGTTTCCTTACCATTCCTGTTCCAATCCCTATTTTTTCGCTTCCCTTTCTCATTAGGTTACATTCGTAAGGTTACTCCTTCCTTTCCTCTCCGTAATAGTATTGGCCTCTGCCCGATAACCAAGCTGAGCTCCGCCATCTATACGTAGCTTTGCTGTGACTGTACAAAGCAAAGTCATCGTACGGTAAACTCGTAAGGCGACAAGTACTGGCGACGCTCGTACCAAAACGATACAACGTCTTCGTAGCCTCCTTTACCTTGTCCCTATCTCGTCCATGCCCTCGCCGTCCTAAACTGGCTCTCCTACAGCGTCCTATTGCACTAATTGATTTCCATCTCTTCTTTTTCAATTTCTTCTTCTTTCAAAACACCCGACAGGGAGACACGACACAGCAAAGAGAGTTCTGTTCATAAGTAGTCTGCCGACCTCACAACGACAGTAGTAGCAGCCACCCAGCTTTACAGCAGTGCTGCTCGGTCCCTATGGAAGGGACAAGACCGAACCGAGAAGAATGGCCACTCGGTAAGTAGTCGGCAAGCAGCTGTCGGTCCAATCTTCTTTTTCGGCGTCCCCCTCGTCTAGGGTGCTGTAAAAGGCCTGAGGCGCCCAAAGAGCCGTTAGTCTAACCATAGTTGACGAAACTGGCCAAGGACTGTGCAGAATTCTACTGGTGGCATCCGTATTGGTAACAGCCATGCGCACTAATGTCGCTATTGCTGCGGCTGTTTTAGTGATGGCGGCCTACCATGGCGACTTCGGCGAGGGCATTGGCGATGAAGCCGACTTTCCAATGGCGTTTCGTTGTTTCCGTTCGTTCTCTTTCAACGTGTTATGTTTCACTGGCCCCTAATGGATTTGTAGTTTTCATTGTACAGAAGGAGCCGGTACTAGCGACTGGATCCATCATAAAGTCGCTAATGAGACAAAATGTAAAGATCAAAAGCTCATATGGCCGAATCATTTGGGTATCGCCACTATTTCTGGAAACGCGTTTTTGCGCTTCTCCTTCGCCTCATAAATTCCTCGTTTGCCAATAGTTCTAGTCTAATAGTATCTGCATGCGACCGAGCACTTCACCACTTGAAAGAGTCACAAAACAAACAAACCTCTCTTTCTCGCTATACATCTATTTATGGCAAATTTCAATGCTTATGGATAAATAACGTCCTTTCTATTGTATACATGATGAGCCACAACGACTTCGCGGAGCTCTGAGTTCTTCAAATGAATACAATACGAAAAACTATATAAATATAGGAACGAAATTTCGCTCGTGTAGCTGTTTTGAAAGGGCCTGTATAAACTAGAGCGGTGGCCCTAGATTCTGTTGCGCAGTGTGAAAGAAAGTCAACAGAGACTAATAGTAGCCAAACGAAGGAGCCGTGCTACTCTAAACTAGCAAATACTACGCTTTTGTTGAAGACATTCTTATATACAGCATATTACAACAGCGGTGCATCCACTCCACCTCGATTTTCGATTGAACTGTCTGATAGCCAATACGTGACCGACTTGTAATCGCGGTTCGCGGATCCCGAACGCCCTTACGATTTCATCAACACTACGGGGCCTGTTTATTAGTGCCTCATCCAGGTCCTGTCTGCTTAGTACCCTCTTTTCCATTTTTCCCCGTTAATTTCGTCCGGCACTATCGATTTTCAAATTTCACCTGTTCCACCGATTTGTTACTTCTGCGTGTCTCATAAATCTTTCCTTGATTCCACTTTCCGCCACCTTTTTTAAACCTTCCAGCGAGCCCTGCGGTCCTACAAGTTTTCCTGATTGCTTGGTCGATCCGCTTTCCTTTGCTGACTAGTTTTTTATGAGTCATTATCTCCGTCGCTGATCATCCGTACAGATGTACATGAAGTCCGCCCTATACGATCTAGTGGCATGAAATGTGATAAAACAAAAAACAAGCGTAATCGATAATGATGGGTTGAAACGTGTTATGCATAATACGATCATCCTTTTAATTTGTTTGGATGTAAGTGGCACATCGTAGTTCTATTGTTTTTTTTTTTTTTTTTGATAAACATGCTTGTACATCATCGTTTCGTAACTCGAATTACGGCATGATGTAAATGTTGGTGCTAGTCTGACCGGCTTCATTATTGTCAAGGATAATATCATTCATATTCTTATTATACCATAAGAATCAACTGTTCATGCCACACTCGCATAAAATATCTTTTAATAAATAAACAAAAACAAGCTGTTCAGAAGAACCCAGCAACACTATGCCGTTTATATCGTGCAAACGATTTTCGTTGCACTCTAGGGTCAACCACGATAGTCAGCCAGCTAGACCTGCTACCCTATTTGTACCCCGCGCTGAGATTACAATAGGATACGACTCCCAAGTAGTAAAGTTCTGGCTATTTTGCACAAAACCCTTTCTAAGCTGACGTGTATTGCGCAGGGATAAATTGAAGGACCTCCATTGTAACGTACTGTTTGCGTGATACGTCGATCTAGTCGTTCTAGCTTGTCGTCGTCATCATTTAAGGTAACCCGTTCTCCTCCAGAAATGCTGCAGAAAGTAAGTTACCGGCTATGATTTTCAACTTAGCTAATTCAGTAAAGAAATCCTTGTTGCATAGCAATAATAGCATTCCAGAATCTTTAGTGTTGTTTAATTATTTAATTGTTATCGGAGGCCAAATAGAAAGGAACTGAACCTGTAGATTGTCTACCTGCTCAGAAAGACTTAAGGATGTATGATAGGCTCTTAAATGGTGATGTTTTGTTTTAGGGACTTCACAGCTGTGATAGTCACCCAAGCTCGCTTTACACACGTACGTCTAAATTTACGTGAATATATTATATTTGACCGCGCTGTTGGTATATTGTTCGCAGTTCCTTCTACACCCTACGTTGCGCTGCTGCCAATTATAAAGCGCCCTAAAGTTGAGATATGGATTGTATATGCTTTTCGGCGAGCTTAAAAAGATTGGTGCGCCGAAACTCACTTTAAATATAAGGAAAAAGGAGCTAACAGTTTTGGACAATAATAAAAGCTGGCAAATCGAGCAGAAATCTATTTAAAAGTTATATATAAAATAAATTATGTGTACGTCAACACTAAATAAATGTGCTTTTCACTAAAAAAATATGGCGCTACACTCCTGACTCACAGCCATAGAAGTTAACGTATCATGCATCAAAAGGTCATATCGCCCTTTTTTATTTACAAACCGGACCGTGTTACGTAGACATGGCTTATTATACTTTCACCAGGTCGCATAATTATACTTATGCATGAGCGTCTCGCATAGACACCGCAGATATAGCAAATAAGCCCTTTTATCAATTGTACACTGCCATAGGACTTGTTCTGTTGACGAACGAACTGTCTCGTTATTAAGTAAGCTGCCCGTCACACTTTCAGTGTAAATTCTCCAATCGATTGCTCCTCTGTGTACATATCATCGCGACGGCACTCAACGTGAGCGCTAAACGTGAAAATTCAAACCGGAGTTATGTTTATAGTAGTGCAGCTATCCTTTGTATGCGCGTATGTTTGGCCGAAGTGGGTGAGGTACGGTGAAGAACCTCTGCCGTTAGGTACGCGGAGGCGTGTAACATTGAAAAAAAGAGGAAAACCGTTTTGGGAAAAGGGTCTGTACATCTGCTCCATTTACTTTTTCGCGTCGATTCCACTGTCTTTGTTAGGGGTAACAACAACGCACTACCCGTTGCCGTCTTTCTCGACCAGGTTGGCTAGTTGGCTGTCTACTTTACGTCTACTCCCTGCTCTTGCATCCTACGTTTACGTAGGTCCTGACGACTCTTTGCCGCTTCCTCGGTTTGTCAGGCTACTTTTGGCAGCCTTGGTGGCAGCAGCCGAAGAGGAAATCTTGCCGAAGGTGCTCGACTGACATCGGATTCCCACGGGCGATGAATCAGCATTTTCTCTGATTTCTCTTTCTTCGTCCATCGACTTTTTTCACCGCTGATGCTGCCGCTACTGCTGCTACTAAGCAGTGAACCTGCCTTCATAAGCGTCCGAGTGTTGGGGCGACCTCTTTTGCTCGCTAGCTGCCTGGTTTCGGGCAAGGACTACCCTGGTTTTGCCGTAGGCGAACCCGAGTAAAACTGAATAACGCCAGTAGCGGCGCCGTTTGTGATACGCGTCTTTCCCGCCATCGTTGCTTTTCTTGAATAGTGGCGAAGCTAAAAGTGATACTAAAACTGGCTTGTGTGAAAGCTATTGGCCTTCAACGCTGACCTACCTGTCTCCTGACAGGCCGATGATCGACAGTCGATCGAATTTGTATTTCTGATAATTGATAGTTGCCCCAAAAGCCATTCACCACCATCATTATTACCGGTTTTGGATAGTTACCTTTAGTCCGACACGTCTAGACTAGTTTCGGGTCGTTTGTGTAAATAGTCGCCCCCGCCTGTGTAAAGATGCGTTTATCTCCAATGGCCTGTTTGGCCTTATTTGGAATCAGTTTTTTTGCTGAAGTGTTCGTGCTACCGCTTACGTCTCCGTAATAGATTAGTTAGTGGCGTATTAGGCTGCTAGTATTAGGGACACGTAGTGGTTTAGGTTCAAACCCGGCTATAGACACTCTTCGTTTTGTACTGGGAGACAACCAGCGTGTGATAGTGCAGCGAAACAGCTCGAAGAAAAAAGGTTCCATTAGCCAATAAAGTTCCCGGGAAACTGTTCCTATTTTGATTCCTAAGTGAAATCAATTTGGCTTGCAAATTAAAACGGCCAGGACATGCAGTTTCTCGCTGAACATTATTTTCGCCTGTGCGGGCATCAGGTTTGTTTCATATATGCATTATATGCTGCTATAATGATTTTGTCGATATGGCGATTATCCATCATTTTAATACCTTTTTTTTTTTGTTTAATATGACGCTTAACCTCACTAAAGGTTTCCTAATTACACCATTGTTCTCGAAGGAAAACTTTGAGCTGGATAGTTGTATTTTAGGCCTATTACTAGATACAAGTGCCTACTGAAAACAGAAACCTGCCAAATTACAATGCAGTTTAAGTTGAACCTTGTCTCGAATTGTCTCGAGAGGAAACATTTTTTATTTGCATCTGGTATACGTATAAACTTCTATGAGTATTTGCCCATCCACGATTTGATATAATTAGCGCGGCCAAAACATATTGGTACGATTACTTACCACATAGGCAATGCACGAACTGCAATTTAGTGATGTCTCTAGTGTCCTTGCCTGTAATCGGTTACCGTGCGTAACGTCAAAATGGCTAACGTATAAGTTTTGTGTGGCATTAAAATACTGCAAGAAATCACCTGAATAACTTTCCAAACTTCTTGATCCAACTTGAATGAACTTTAGATGCTCGGCCATGAAATATAAAGCAATTACTCTAATATTTTAGCCGTATTTTCTTGCAGCTGTCCCCACACCACCCTTCGTTAACTCAATTTTAGATTGCCCCTTTTCGCCTGCTTGCGGTGGGCGTACGAAGAACAGTTAGCCAAAGAAAGTGTTTACTTTTTCTTGAAACTGATTTCGGTTGAGCTTTTAGCGCCTGCTTCTACGAAGCGATAGAGAGAAGAAGCACCACCGTTAGAGTAATGACCGACGCATGTACTTTTCGATGTTTAACTTTTTTGGAACTAATTTTAAAACGTCTATGGTAGCTAGCCTATTTTTTTATGTGCCAGTCGTCGTGTGGCTTTAGATGCTGGACAAATTTGACTTTTTCCTGCCACGATTTTTATCTTCTAAATACTCCAAAAGCGGTACCCTTACAACGACAGTGGCAAGATGTTATCGAACCCGTCCGAGACAACTCCTACATCTCAAGCTATTCTTACATCGTCGGTGGCATCGTTTTTTTTTTTTATCTAATGCCTGGGTTGTTCTTGACTGGAGTGAAAGTGCAAGCTGAATTTATCTCGTTGAGCGGTTTTTACTGTACCAAAAATAGAAAATGTTTCGTATTTTTTGACAAATCAAAAGGTTCTTTAAAACGAGTTACAGAAACTTTTAATATATTTATGCGCGTGACTTACTACTTGGCAACTTACGTAGTATCGAAGAAACCTTCAGTCCTGATATGGTCCTGATATGCCCGCTTTGCTTGAACTTCATTCATAATTTGTTTTTAGATAATGCTCAATGTTTCAGAATAACATTATTTGCTACATGTTCTATTGACATACGTGATATTAGTGATTTCTAAGGGCAATCTCTTCAAGCTCATCAGAATCGAATTTTTAGGATCTTACTTGACATATATTTAGTTGTGCTGGAAGTAGGTAGTAGCAGATAAGCTAAAAAAATAGCAGAGAGACCGTAACGACGCTGCAGTGACTACGGCAACAACGTATAAAAACAAATAATTCAATATACACATGCTGTTATCATTAGCAAGATATTGCCATGATCACCCAGTAGAAATAATATCTTAAATCGAGCAGAAATAACTACAATTAATTGTTACGAAAGTGCTTGCGGCGCTTTCGTATAAAACTGGGCGTATTCGGCAGCGCGTGACAAAACAGAGCCCAAACAGAGACAAAAATAAACAAAAATTCAGTTATATTATTAACTCAATGTGACTGTTGGCTCTGCTTATAAGTCTGCCGTAGCATATCCTTCTTCCGGCAAAAATATTAAGGCTCGTGTCCTTTAACGGTGCCGCGCCACGATGCCATCGTAGAGCCTTTCTATATCACGGGGATGAAATGCGAGCTGTATATCGAAAAAAGGACGACAACAGGTAATGCGATGGGAGGACAAAATGAAGCTATGGAAAAATATGCTGAACCAAGAAATGGCGCCCTGACGGCGAGCGGTGGTGACTCTGGCGTAAGCACTGCTACCGTAAGGGAAACAACGTCGTGGCGTCCGGTTTTGATTGATGCCAAGCGGATTCGACGACCCGACGGGATAAGATTAAACAAAGCCCAACGAGAGGTGAGAGAGGCGGAATGGAGGTGACGTTAGTACCGAGGAGTCGTCGACTAAGATAGCGGCGATAAGACAGGAACTTATTGATTAGTCAGAAGAACGCTGCTATCGTCGTATTTGAAACCACCTCGACAAAAGAGCCTAGCGGCAATTTTTAAGTAGTGGAGGCGTATCATTCTATTAGCTAGATATTTGCTGGAACCATGTCCTCGACTTGTATGCGACGTGGCGTTGCAAACAGGCGACGTGGACGCAGATACAAGGAGACGCATACAATCGAAGTATATGATGATCCGGTCTGAGAAATCAGGTGATGTTAAGAGATTGGTGTAAAATGTGCAGAATACTTCAAAACAGACATGTGTAGGTATTGAACGGCCCTCGTACTGATCAATACAATAAGAAACCCTATACCTCTGCTGATCAAATGTTATTCGGGCTGAAGTGCGGTATTTTCTACGCACTGTAAAACTTGCGATTCAAGAAAACCGCTCAAGGATAATATAAAAATAACTCACTTTAAGAGTTACTTTAAGAACTTCAGAAACATCCGAGTTCAGAAAAGGCTTCAGTATTTGGCTAGCTAACATTGGGCAACTTTAAAAAGA